TGGCTGTACCATATGGGGGGGGTGCTTCTAATCAGAGCCCAGAATTCGAGTAGGCAAGCAGGACAGGCAGCCTGGGGGCCCAGAGGGACACTGCCTAGCCAGGAGGGACCTTGGAAGTCACATGGCCACTGTCTGCTTGTACTGGGGGGGGTGTCACCAGCGGGGTTGAAGATCCAGCCAGGTTGAAGCCCAAGCCTCTCCCATTCACAGAAGAGGACATGTTTTCCATATGCCTCTGGAGACTATTGTGGGAATTTCCTCACGTACCAGAGAACTCAAGGCATCACTTCCCGGATCCCTTAGTCCTCCTGTCTACCCGCCAGAACTGACTGTCTATGGGAGAGGCTGACAGGAACGGGAGTGAGGGCAGGGCTCAGAACGGCCCATCCACCTCCTTGTCAGACTGTGAGCTGTGAGGGTGCCAAAAGGGGCTGGAGCCTCCTGGCCAACTGCTCCCCTCAAGCTTGGCTCCTGTCCAGTCCTGTCCCCAAAGCGAGGGAGGCAGCCCTGACAGATGGCACCAGCCCTGAGCCGTCAGTCTTCCCGGCAGGTCCCCACAGGCCAGCAGGACCAAGTGTCCTATAGGATTCAAAGGACAAAGCTCTCCCTTGATCTCCCTTAGCTCCCTGCAGGAGCTTCATATTCTACTATTCTAGTAGCTTCATAAACCATCGGTCCCCAAACAGTGCTCCAGGGACCCCTGTTGAGATTCCATAAGAAGTCAGAGCCTGAAATAAAGAGCAAGCACTGTGCAGCAACAGGGCAGATGATCAATGTGTAGTCTGTTCATGCAATGGAACGCTGCTCATCTGTACAAAAGGACGGAAATCCTAACACGTGTTACCACACGCGTGGACTTTGAAAATGTTATGCCCAGTGAAATGAGTTCACCACAAGACAAACATATTATCCATTCCATTTCTATGAGCTGCCTAGACTAGGCAAATTCATGGAGACAGAAAGTCTCCATGGACATAGAGGGTTTTATAATAAAAAGTTAGGAGCATATATAGTAGTGATGGTTCTATGATGTTATGAATGTATTTACTGCTACCCAATTGTATACTTACAAGTAGTTAAAATGACTCATATTTTATCACAATAGAAATTATATATATACTATATATAATTATAATAATAAAGGCACTGAGTTTGCAAGGTTAAATGTCAGAGGCTTTACAATGGGGATATCTTAAGCTGCGGTCCCCAGTGGAGTGGACCACTGAACTCTGTGTTCTTAAAAGGCCTCGCCCTATTCATCTCAGAGCTGTTCCTCACATTACAGTATTTGGCTTCTTAGACATCTTCTCACCCCTGGAAGAGACATTAAAAATCTCTGTCAAACCCCTTGCCTTAATTTTTGTTTTTAAAACAAAAGTTCACTATATTTTTTATTTTCATCTACAAAAATGGGAATTTCTCCATTTTGGGTCCTCGAAGCATTTTTAGTTCTTTACTTTTCAAAAAGGTATGTGTGCATGTGTATGCAAGGGGGGTAGTTCTCTAGAAACTTCTGGTTGTGGGCCTGGAAATGCAATCCTGAGGAGAAAAGCATGTTGTCTGTGGGCCAGATGGCTTTGAAGGTGGTTTGGGGCATGGTTCTGCCTCTGCCTCCCTCTGTCAGGGCAGGGCTGGCTCTGTCTTGTCCCCTCCTCCCTGTCGTTGCCCATCTGCTGGCTCTGGACAAGCCTTGAGGACAGAGCCTGGGGACAAGACTGTGGCTGGCCCAAGGCCACATGTTGATCCTCCCAGAGAGACGACCCCCCAGTCCCGTGCAGCTGAGCAGGTGAGCTGCCTGGTCAGCTGCCCTGGTGGCTTATAACCCATCCATTGGCCACCGTACTCCATAGTCAAATACTCTCAGGCCCAGGTTTGGTGACAACCGGGGAGCCAGCCAGGGCAGGGGGTGGCTGTCAGAATAAAGAAAAGAAAGACTGGATTTAAACACCAGCTGTGGGACAACTTGGGGGTGAGTCACTGCCCAGAAATGTAGTGTCAGGGAGAAAAGCCAGAGCAAGGAGAAATTTAGAACTGCCAGAAACATGGTGAACCTGTCAAAAATAAATGAAATGAGCTACAAAAATTAGGAAGTCAAAGGCAAAGTCTTATTTATTGTTTATTTTGTAAATATAAACATTTAAAAAATATATCAAAATAGGGAAAACAACTCCACACACCAATACCTTGCATAAGCAGTGCTCTAGGGACATGAAGGAAGTGGCCATGTTCCCTTGGGTGGATGCAGGCCAGAGGGAAGGATCAGCCATAGTAGGTGGCTGAGGGTGAAATTTGACATTCAGCAGACCCAGGAGATCTGGGATGTGAGTTCCGAGATTCTACAGGGATCTGGGTGGTTGCTGGGCTTGCTGGACTAGTCCCCACTGGACTAGGGGAGGGATGTTTTTATTTATAGGTGAAAAGGAAAGGTGAGCCCTATGACAGAAGGGCGGGTACCAGGTCACTGCTGCTGGGTTAAGCAGGGCCTCTCTGTCTGTCCTGGGTTCTGGAATTAAAAGAACCCAAGTTCCAGGGGAAGGCAAGGGCCTGGCAGGAAGCGATGCAGAGGAGTCAGATTACAAGGTAAACAAGATCCAGATAGAACCTCCTTTCCAGGCAGCCAAAGGAAAGGAAACAGACATGATCTAGAAAGAGGAGCTGTTGACATCTCAGGATGGAATTTGGACAGCACCCCCAGAAGGCCAAGTTGGGGGAGCAGCCGGGCCCGGTGGAAACTGGGAGACCTTGGAGACATTGGAGGAGTGGACGGACAGCCTATCGTGGGGAACAAAGGAGCCTGGACTTCAATCTGCAGGCCATGGGCCCGCAGGGAGACTTGGGAAAATGAGCCTGCGTCCGCCATGGGGAGGAAAGAGTAGACGAAAGAGACCTGTGAGCGCTAATCAGCACATCCTCGGCCATGTCATCCCGTGGTCCCCCAGCACATGGGCCTGCTCCAGGGCGGCCACGAGACCAGGTTGCAAAGAGAGCTCCTGGGCTGATCTGCAGTAGCTGTGGGAAGCAAGGGCCTTTGAGAAAAAGCCACTGTTGGTTAGTGACCTAGACATGGGGCTGGAGGGGCGTGGCTGTGTGCCCTCGCTCACCCACATACTTGATCTGTGTTTGTTCAGAGTCCACTGGGCACAAGCACTTGTGCTGAGAAACTGTCCTCTACAAAGGTTCAGTGGCAGACAGAGCAAATAGCCCCAAGTCTGGCTTCACCCTGACCCTGGCCCCTTCTCCCTTTGACCTTGTAAAAGGTCATCTAGCCTGGTCCCATTCTACCTGAGTCTTGCCCAAATAAATGCTTGGTAGTTATTTGTGGAGGGAAGAAAGCCAAACATGAGTGAATTGCTTTTTTGATTTTTTATACTGAGAATTGAACCCAGGGCTTCCATGCTGAGCTACATCCCTAGCCCTATTTTGTTTGTTTATTTATTTATTTAACAAGATCTCAATAACTTGCCCAGGCTGGGCTTGAATTTGTGATCCTCTAACCTCAGCCTACCCAGTGCAGGAATTACACATGTGTGCCACCATACCCACCTCAATTTTCCAGTTTTTAAATTCATTCATTCCACTGAAAAATCAGTATGTCCAATTTGCAGGGCCCTTTTGAAGATTTGAAGATAAATTACACCCAATCTTTGCCCTCTAGGAATTTCCTCGTGCCCCCTGGATATTAGACTTCCCATGGATTTGTGAAACAGTTGGTATTTATCAGTCTGGATTCTTTGTCTTGCCTGGCTTCCGAGAGGGTTCCTGGGGAAAACCCAGGAGGCTGAGGAAAGCTGGCCTCTTCTGCAAAGCAGGACCTTCGGGCCTCAATGTCGTCCTTGAGCCTGGAAGCAAAAGCCACGTAGGGCAGTAGCCGGAGGGCAGAGGAGAACGGCAGCTCATGGCGCTGAGTCTGGCTTTGAAAGGCAGGCTGCTCATCATCCGGCTGCTCGCAGCAGCCACTGTGGGGTCTGAAGCAACCGCGGAGGAAAGCAAGGGTAGCCCGCATCCACCCAGGCAGGCTGGGCAAGGCTGCCCACGGCAGGCGCTGGCCCCAACCCAAGCAGCTGCCCTGGTGATCTACCCAGGACCGTGGGCAAGGCCTCGGGCAGGGAGGGCCACACCTCTCGCTGTGGCTCCCAGCAGGCCCTGCCATGGCTCTGCTACTCTGTTGGCCTGGGACCTCCCGCTTGAGTCCCTCGGCCTGCGAGCCAGGGATCCTCAACTCCCTGACTTTGTCTTTGTCCAAGGGGAGCAATGCGCACTGTGACGCATCCTCGTGGATCCCCGGGGCCCTGCAGTGTCCCTTCACCCCTCTGGGGCCTGTGCCCAGTGACCCACAGCAAACGGGTGTGCCACAAACATATCTGCAGGTGTCTCTGTGACCTCACCCCTTGGCCAGACTGGAAAATGCCCTTGAGGGCCCCAGCAGGGCTCTTTGTCATTCACACTTTGGGGAGGGTCTTTTTGCTCGGCTGCTGGCAGAATGGATATGCATCTGTCCCCAGGAATGTACCGCGTGTGCCAGCTACAGAGGAGAAGGACTGTGTATGTACATGCACCTGCAAAGAGCACGAGTCACTGTACTGGGGAGGAAGTTGACAAGGAGAACACAAACTTTAGTCCTTTGCTCAGAAAACTTCTATTCACCCTTCAAGATCCAATTCACGTGACCCCTTTCCAGGAAATCCTTTTCTGATATCCCAAGGGGCGTGAGTTCTTTTTGGCACCCACAATACTTTAGGTGTCTGACTGTCATAATCCTTTCTTGTCTGTCAGTCCAACTCCCCATACAGAGCCACAGCTCCATGAAGACGTGCACCACTGAGGACCATCTTTCTTCACAGGGCCTAGCCTGATGTCTGCCGCACAGCTGGTAGCAGAGATGCTTCCAAATGAAAGGGATGCTGGCGATGCAGGCTGTGCGCAGCAGGAGAGGGGTGGGGGTGCCCGGGGTCTGCTCCATGGCAGCACAGTGAGGGGCCCTGCTCTTCACAGAAAGGGCCGCGGGTCACAGTGTGATGCTGCATGGGCCACATTTCCTGCTTCTCTAGAAATGCCACCAGGGTTGCTCAGAGGGACAACTGCGTGGCACTGTGACCTGTGCCTAGGGTCCTGGGTGATGGGCCCTTCCTCACTGTCCCTCTTGGATCCTCCACGCCACTCTGTCCGGCCTCTTTCTGGGCACCTTTGCAGTCTGATCCCTGCCTCTGTGACCCCCAGGGTCCCTGGCCAAAGGCCACACCAGGGGACCCGGCATACAAGGAGGAGGAGGCTCCCTGTGGCCAGTTGCATGGCAGACAACCAGGCTGGACCCTGAGAAGAGGCCGTGGTGCTGGGCGACACGCAGGGACAAACTGTGCATCCAGTGCGAACACCAGCCCCCATCACCGCTCCTTCTCCCTGGGCAACCCTGTCCCTAACACCCTGACCTCCTCTCCCTGTTTCTTACCTCATGGCCTCCTCCCTGTCTCCCATGCCTTTTACTGTCCTTGTCTTAGGTTCATATAAGTGACACGACGGGGCCACAAAGACTTTGGACTGGGACCAGCAATGGGGCTGGAGAAGGCTGAGGAGCAGAACATTTCGAGCAAGCCCATCTGGATTCAAGAACTGGCTCTGGGGCCGGGGATTTAGCTCAGTGGTTCTGCCACTTGCCTTGCAAGCACAAGGTCCCAAGTTCGATCCCCAGTACCAGGGGGAAAAAAAAAAAGAGAAGAACTGGCTCTATCATTGACTGGCCCTGTCTCCTTGGGCCTCAGTTTCCTCGTCTGTGTTATGGGATTAATAGCCTTCCTAAGCTTGTGAGGTATAAAGCAGACCACACTCCTTGCTCATTCAGGACTAGGCCTCTTGGTCACTGGCCCAGGCTGAGGCCGTGGTGGGGGCCTGGGGGTCTCACACATGCACTGCCTGTCTAAATGACTCACAACCTCCAAAGAGACCAACCCTCTCCCTCACAATACCCCTTCCGATGACAGGCCAAGGCCTAAGGCCTGCTCACCCACAGAGTCCACTCAACACAACCAAGTATGTCTTTACATGATGGGGCTTTTACTTCAATTTGAAGCAGATGGTTGAGCACAGATGTGAACAGCTTTGGCCTTTTGAGCACAAGGCAAGAGCAGGCCTTGGCTTTAAACACACCCCCTACCCCACATCCTGGCCCGCTCCCCTGGTCCCTTCCTCCCTCTGCCCTCCTGCCCACCTGTGACAGACCACTGCCTCCCCACAGGGCACCATCTTGCTTTCCCAGCTAAAGGGTGCCACTGGCTAGGGGAGCAAAGACCTGGGGCGAGTCCCTGGGAGGGGGGATATTGCTTCTTCCCCCCACTGCACTCCTTTCTCAGGCTACTCAGGCCCTCAGAAGGAGCCTGGGCCCAGGGAACATTGAGAAACCGGGTCTGAGGCCTGGGCAGCTGTCAGAAGAGAAGGACACGCACAGGGATGCTAGGCCCTCCATGCCATCCTCTCAGGCACCCCCAGGAGGTTTAACTTGCACCCTGCCACCTCAGGACCCAGTGTAGACAGAGCAACAGTTCAGAGGGTCACGTGCTTCCCATGGTCACCAAATGCCCACAGCTTCAGTGAGTTGCTGGTAGAACTGCCGGTTTGTCTTTGGCTTGAGATAAGACTCGGGCAACGAGAGAAGCAGAGTCACGGAGCCGCAGTGTGGCTTTTCCCTGCTGGGTTTCATCCCCCATCTTGTTCAGAGTCTCTGTGGAATCTTTGGCAATGAATTTCTGCAGCCTCAGGTCCTGACCAAGGGGAAGGCTGAGCTCTCCCTCCTGACCAGGCAGCAGGCAGAGTGAGAACCAAGCCCAGCAGCTGGGGGAGGACAGGAGGCGACCGGGAGGTGGGGTTGCTCCTGCCCTGGGTGACCTGAGCAGCAGTGGCAGGTGGAAAGCTGGCGGCATCCTGGGGGAGACAGAGGCTGAGGCTGGCCTGGCCCGCTCCCCTTGTCCTCGGCCTGGCTGGAGAGAGGCTACCGCAGCGTCCTCGGCCTGGTCCACAGCCACTCACTCCTGAAAGAAACGACCGAGCATGAGAGGCAGCCCTGCTCACCCAGCCGCTGGCTCCCGTGGCTCTTCCTTCCACTTAATCCTCACAGCTGCCCTACAAGGGACTCCACACCTGAGTGGCCTGGGCAGGGGACAGCACCTTGAAGGACAGGCTGCCTCCATGAGGTCCCTTCCTCCCCACCTCTGCCCTTCAGAGGCTCTGCTGCTTTGTTGCTTTGGGTGGAAGAAGCCAGAGTCCCAGACACCATGGTCCCCAGGGCTACAACCTCGTGCAGGTGGGGCTCCTCGGCTGACCCCCACTGCAATGGCTGACTGTGGCTCCTCTGTCTCCCACATTGTTCAGAAAGAGCACTGTACCAGGAGTCACAAGGCCCTCTCTTGCTAGATGTGGTGGCACATGCTTATAATCCCAGATATAAATCTTTGGGTTTGGGAGGCTGAGGCAGGAGGATTGCTGTGAGTTTGAGGCCAGCCTGGGCTACATAGTGAGTTCAAGCCCAGCCTGAACTACATAGTGAGACCCTGTCTGATCAACAAAACAAATGAGGCCCATTCTGGTTGAAGCCATCACCTGCCCGCTGTGTGACCTGACACAGGTCATTTAATTTCTTTGGGCCTCAATCTCCTCATCTATAAAACAGTATTGCCAAAATAGAGCAAAACTTTTCAAACTTTCTTTTCAGCAGTACAAATGGAGTCCAGCTTGTGGAGCCCAGAGAAGCTAAGAATGACTGTGTCTACTTGGAGAGTCAGGGGGACACAGATAGAGGGGGGACCCAGAGTCCTACTCTGTTCACTCTGCCAAGGAGCGTGGGACACCCTGAGAATCCAGGGAGCTCATGTGGGTTCTACCCAAAACCACTAAGTTGGACTGGATTCACCCTGTGGAATCTTCAACCTGTGGAATTTTCCTCTGGCAGCTGAACTCAGTGCCACTCTCGAGACAGATGGCCACGGGGTGTCTCTCAATTATTTTGCTTTGTTTTTAGATGGGGGTCTCACTTTATAGTTCAGACTGGCCTTGAACTCATTATGTTGCCCAGGCTGGCCTCCAGCTCTCAGAGATCCTCCTGCCTCAGCCTCCCAAACCCAAAGATTACAGAAGGCTGCTGCTGTCTCTCAGTTCTTGCAACAAACCAGAACAAACAGCTAAGTTCTCATCGTCAAAGCAGAACATCTGTTGGCCCCTTCAAATGCCAGGGAGCTTTCTCACATCCCACTGGGATGAGCAATCACGGCGCTGAGAAGAAAGCACGAGCAGTTGGCAGCCCCAGGATTTGAATCCAGTTCAGCAGTGTTTATTCTACCACACTGAGGCAGCCCTAGCTGCGTCGAGGTCTGGAGAGCCTCAGGGGAGCCAAACCGCGAGGCTGGAGGGCCGCTAACCATAGCCCTGGTAGCTCCGGCTGCAGGAGAGGCTGGGCTCCGCTGGAAGTGGGGACCCAGGGGGATGAGGGAGTCATGCCAGGGACAGGCAGAGCTCTCCAGCCAACAGTGGCTACACAGGGAAGAAAGGAAAAGTGAGAGGCGTGTGGGATCTTGATGTGGTAACTCCCAGGCTCCCATCTTCCAGCCCACTGTGCAGGGCTGGCCCCAGCAAGAATCTGCTTTCTGTTACCGAGTCTGAGGAGCAGGATTAAGAAGCGGAAAGGAGACCCGTGGGGATGGCACTGGGTCTGTGGTCCACCCGTGATTTACAGCCTGCGTCGTCCTGGCGCTGGCTGCCTGGGCGGCCCACTGTGCTCTGGGCCCGGAGCCACCCTCCCGGCCGGGCAGCCTGGGCCCAGCCGCAAGCCCTCTGTCGGCTCTCAGACCCCCAGAAGCCAAGGCTGCCACCCAAGTCATGAGACAGGCTCTTCTCACTGAGGCTGGACCTTCAATTCCTGACCCCACACTGGGTGTCCACACTGGACCCTGTTCCCAGCACATCTCCAAGCCCAGGAATCCAGCATGTGCATTGTCTATTTGAGGAAACCTTCTACCAACAGAGGCACGAAGAATGCTGCAACCAGGACCTTCTCTGCAATTAACTGACTGTGTGACCTTGGGTAACGCCCCTTCCCTCTCTGTGCATTAATTCCCTCACTTGTACAGTATTTCCCAAGAGCATTCTGCAGCACCCTAGCCAGCCGAGGTCTCCATGAGTCTCGGCAACACCACAGACCTTGGCCCCATCTTGCAAAGTCACTGTGTAGAACAGGGTTAAAGGCTCAGCAAAGTCCTGCAGTAAAGAAATTCATCTGGCTCCATCTAGTCAGTATTTCCCCGACATTTTGGACAAGTCCTTGCCACTGCATTATGAGTAGAAACTCACTCCAGCCCTGCCCCCTGGGAGCCCACCGGTAACGGTGTGACTACTTCAGGGGTCCGCTCTTAACTCCTACTGCTAGGCCCTGTCTGAGCACCTGTGAGCAGCCTCTGCCAGCCAGCGGAGGAAGTCCACTGGTCCAGCCTCTTCACTTGATTACTGAGCTGTGGCTGACCACCTGCCAGTGCCACTCCACAGTATGGGGCTGTGCTATGTGGGACAGGGTATATGGCTGCAAATATAGGTGAGAGCAAGCACTGCCCATGGTGACAATCAGGCCGCAGATGCCCTCCTAGGGAGTGACTAGCAATGTCCTACCATTGCCGGGGCGGTGCAGCGGGAGAGGGTTCAAGTCCCCTCCTGCCTTGGCCTCAGGTGGGTACTTGGCCAAGCCTCTTGGGGTGGCTTGCTCCTTGGCTCACAGTCCCTAGGTCCCTCCAGCACAGCCTTGCTTTGGAGGGTCCCTTTAGGATTTTTCTTTTTTTTTTTTTTCTGGTACCAGGAATTTAATTGAGGACCTTGCGCTTGCCAGGTGGGTACAGTGCTGCTGAGCTACATTCCAGCCCTTGAAGGGTCCCTTTAAACAGCAGGCTCTGCTGCTGAGATAAACCTGGAAGACAACTAGATGAGACTGCCGAGTGGGTGGGTCTGACCCACTGGGTCCCCGAGCGGCAATTCGACAGTGGCAAGGCAGATGCATCTGTCACCATCAGGAGCCACTCTCCCATTTGCTCGTTGTCTGAGATCAGAATGTCAGGTCCTAGGGAGCGGGTGGTCCGTTGGCTGCCGGAACCCTCAGCACCCAGCACGGTTCCTGACCCACAGCTGCACCCCACAAAGTACTACTTATTGAACAAGAGAACAACTCTTTCCAATAACAGACATTTAATTGACTGTAGCCTTGATATACCAAGGAAATCTTCCTGTTTCAAATGAAAAAACTGAACTTTTTGGGGGGAGTACCAGGGATCAGACTCAGGACCTTGCACTTGGGAGGCAGGCTCAGAACACTGAATATTTTTGTAAATATATCTAACCCTGAGCCGGGGACTTAGCTCAGTGGCACCACACCTGTTTGTCTCTGGCTTTAAGTGTTTTGTTTTCCTCTCCTAATCACTTCTGTGTCCTGCAGGGTAATTCTACCACTATGGAAACATATGGAGACATTTAAAAAAAACATTTTGTCCCAGAACCAAACCAAAAAAATTTGTTTATTTGTTTGTTTTGGTACCGGGGATCGAACTTGGGTCCTTGGGATTGCAAGGCAGGCAGTGGAACCACTGAGCTAAATCCCTCCCCCCCAAAAAAATTTTTTTTTGCCAGGTGTACTGGTGCATGCCTGTAATCCCCGCCCTCTGGAGCTGAGGCAGGAGGACCACTGAGAGTTTGAGGCCAGCCTTGGCTACAAAAAGTGAGACCCTGCCTCAAAAATAAACAAACAAAACAAAAAACCTGTTTTATCTGCCTCATAAGTTATTTTACCTTTTAAATTTAATGTCAGCCTACAATGTCCCCTTCACCTATTCAACTATTTATTTTTACTATTTTCAAATTATACACTATATTTAATTTTTTCTTTTTTTGTACTGGGGACTTAACTCAGGACTTTGCGCTTTCAAGGCAGGCTGTGGCACTACTGAGCTAAATCCACAGCCTTATACACTACATTTAAGCAACTTGGATACACCTTTTGCATGCAGGGGAAAACATCCAAGGGCCTTGAAATTCTGACATCTTTTTTAACTGATCTGTCCTAAAAAGAGCAGTCAGATTTCATATGTTGTTCTACAACTAAAACATGACAGAGAAGCAGGGAAGAAACAGAAGAAGCAGCTACAAGAACCACATTATTAGGCACTATTTTCTTCCACTTTCAATATACCAAAGGGTAGGATTGAAAAGAGGGTTCATGTTTGTCTCTGAATCTGAGCTCCAAGTCAGGTTGGGGCCCTGGGTACACTTTAACCTTTACCTTTCCAACCAAGCCACAGCTCCCCCATCTTTAAAATGGGCATGCAACAGTACACACTTTTTAGATCAGTTACAAAAAGTCGACAAAACAACCTAGCCCCGCACCCCTGCCAAGGCCCAGCTCGTGTTCCCACAGAGATGGGTCCTGAGTTCCATTAAGGACCATCTGAAGATGTAAAGTGACATCACAGGCTGAAAAGTCTCAAAACGAGTAACGACCAATAGTCACTTTGAACCAACTGTCGTCTTGACCGATTTGCTTTCAATCAATTCTTTAAAAAAACACACACACACACATACAATTTTTAAAATCACATAGTGTCCATCAGCTGAGAAATGAATAAACAAAATGTGGTATAGTCATGTGATGGAGTATTACTCGGTCATGAAAAGGAATGGAGTATGGATACGTGCTACAGCACAAGTGAGCCTTATAAGCATTGTGCCACAAGAAAGCAGCCAGTGACAACAAACCACACAGCCCATGGTGCTACTGATGTGACATTTCCAGGACTAGAAATTCTGCAAGGATCATGGGGCTTGAGGCTGGAGTATAGGAATGACAGGTAAGGCACACACAAATCCTAGGCCAGCGTAGGCTCAACTGAGGGAATATGTTCTAAAACTGGCTTTGGTGGTGGCTGCACCTGTCTGAATATACTAAAAGCCATGTCTTAACAGAGCTGTAAAAATGTTTTAATTATATGCTGGTATCTTAATTGTA